CATGGTGCTTCGTGTGAAATTCAAGTTCGGCCTCCTCAGGAGAGCCTTCTCAGGAGGGAACCGCTGCGAGAACGGATTCTGTGGTCCCTCCTCACCGCCAGACTTACTTTGGGTTGCGGATACATTATTTCGAGGTACGTCAAGGTGATCCCGACCATTCCCTTGAGGGGTTCCTGCTCGTAGGCTATTTGCAGTTGATTGATCAGCGTTAAGGCGAATATGTGGACGTTCTTGCGGGGATCGTTCGGAAACATTTTCCCGATGTGTTCGTATAGGCTTTCGTCAACGAAGAAAGCCGACTCCACTAGGGCGGTCCGAGATCTGGGCCGATACTGTCCGCTACGGTCCTCCGAGTTGCTCAAAATCTGTTGACCATGACTTCGTGGCTTGCGGGGAACTCGGAAGTCTGGCCCCGATGTTCGAACCAGAACCCTATCCGAGGCATCTGAAAAGATGATTTTCCGAACTCTATTCTAGCCATCAGGCATCCGTTTCGGGGGTGGAGAAATTCCTGAGAGTTTCACCTCGGCGCACGAAGCGGAGATACGGGTCGTGATCCAATCGGAGAACGACGTGCGCATCCGGAACGCTTCCCGAATCCTCGGGCAGCGATGAGATTGCAAGAGACTCGTTGCCGAGGTTTATCGTGCCTCGGGCCCCATCGCAGAGGGACAGAGCGACGAAACTCTTCGGGTATTCAGCGACCTTTCCCGTGTAGTAGCATTTCGTGTCGATTCCATAAGCAGAATCCTCGCCGCCAATCAGGAACCTCCTCGACACGAGTTTTTTGTTTCGCTTGAGCCCTAGGCGCAGTTTCTTCCCGAAAGCCTCCAAGGTGAGGATGACGCGATTGTCGTGAATGGAACGTCGACTCCTCCGGCTCGTGCTCCGCAACGAGATGACTTGCGTTTCTTCAATACGAGCTCCTTCTGTGGAGAAACGATTTTTCGAGTCTTCCCCAAAACATCTCTCCGGTTCTGATCAGACATCTCCTGAGATCTACACGCATGCTTCTGGATAGTTTATCCCATCGAGGTGGACTCGGAGCGGCTTACGAGACAAAAGCTGTGAGATTCCAGTGATGACATCGGCTGTGAGCTGGAAGAGAAACAAAAGTAGTGATTCGTAGAATTTCAAAGCACTCGAAATTATCGTATCACTCGGGCGGCACACACCTTTGACTCCACGGGTGAGAGCGCCAACAGGAGGAGGAGCGCGGACCAAACTTGCATTTAGCTGCGGACTGAGAGAGAGTCACGAGCAAAAATCTCCGTATGTCTTCCTCTCTATACAGACAACCTCCTTGGACCTACGGGAAGAGTGGAAAGATCAATATCGACTGAAACCTCGCTTGCCGAGAAGCTGGCAAGCGGGGAGCATAGCTTCGCGCAGAGTCGCTTAGCGGAAGAAATGGCGCGAACTCACAGTTCACAGTCATAGCTCATCTCTCAGTTGTCGTTCTCAGCAAGCCAGGCCAAATGAAACCAGCTGCGCAACCGGGAGAACCGCAGACGACTCGTTGAAGCGCACTCAATGAAAGACGCATCGGGACCCTAGAGCGGAGTTCGGAAGCGACAATTCACCTCGAGACTTCAGAAACTGAAATGTCTGTTTACAGTCGCTCCGAGATGGCATAGACTTCGATTTATAGCTCGGCGAACCCATCAAACGCGAACGCTTGATTCGGCTCGTGGACGTAAACACGACATCGAGCGCGCTTTTACTGACAGAGTGAGTGGCTCTCATGTTTACCGGATTTTAATTCTTTGGAATCCCCGCTCAGAGAGGCAGCGATCCGGTTATCTAGACGGTGGACCGGGACCCAAACTAAGGGGAATGATGCCAATGAAAATGAATAATGAACGATACTAGAAGAGAAAACATAATGAGTGACACACTTGCGAATGAGTGATGGATAATGCTGATTTGAAGAAATGATGAATGATAGGCACTACTGTGTTTAAACAAAGAATATCAACAAGGAGAAATAATGAATACTGCTGATGAGAATAAATCATGAATACGGAGATCAAGGATATCAACAAGGAGAAATAATGAATACTGCTGATGAGATTAAATCATGAATACGGAGATCAAGGATATCGACAAGGAGAAATAATGAATACTGCTGATGAGAATAAATCATGAATACGACTAATGCAAATGGATAATGATTACCATCGATGCGAAAAAAAAAGAATACTGCTAGAAATTTAAGTTAATAATACTAGGTAGGTGATAATGATACTCAGTGTGGAGTATCGGCACCCCATCGACCTCCGAGGGGCAGCACTTAGAAATGAACCTTATGAAATGGCAGCCCCCCATATCTAGTGGCCTCTAATTTCCACACCGATCATGTCAATAATAATAAAGCGTCCTGGAGATTTTCTCTGGGCGCGCCGCTGCCGTGGAGAGCTCCGTCTCGGAGATTCGAGCGCCGCAGTGCGTCGCAAGGTCAATAAACTCACCCGGCACGGAAAGTGAAACACTTCGACGATCAAGCATGAGTCCAGTTTTGAGCGAGATAAATTGCACCCTTTTCAAGCCGTCATGCACTGCTCATGTAAGTACCACCAATCACGAGCTCGTGTCGCGAGTCGCGCAAGCACACATGCGCTCAGACCAGCATCGGGAACAGTTGAGATCAGAGCGAGCGAATATCTCCTCCCCGGTGGACGCTGATGTGAAAGTCGGAGAGCCACACGAGACGAGTCTCGGCGCGAACCGGACTGGAATGACTATATCGCCAGAACTCTGTCAACCGGTCGACCGGGGAGAAGTGAATTCCGTTGAGGGCGGAGAGCGTTTCTTTCAACACTTCGATCTTCAAGCTAATACTCCAGACTTTGATGCTCACGCGTCTCCCTCGGTGCAGTGTTAATGACCACTCTTCTTGGATTGTGCTTCTTCCCTCTCTCATACAAAAACCGCAGCGGCGTGCTGCTGCTTGTCGACCTAATCGGGAGAAAAACAAAAACCTCTTCCACGGCTCAACCCTGGGAGAAGAGCTCACCGCATGGAAGCTGATCTTGTCACACTCGGTCAGACCACAGCTTGCCTAATCGGAGCCGTATTCCTGTCTTTCGAAGATTCCGCCGTGGTTGGGAGATCGCGGTGCATCTCATGGGTTTCGGAAGTATCTCTCTGTTAAGCAAGCGCTCACTTGATACATACGACTCGGTGACTCGACTAGATGACTCAGAGATTCAAGATATCAACAAAATCGATCCTTCAATAATTATTGATTTTTTTCCTCACTGGGACTCAATAATAACTGTATCGTTTCCTGTTCCATAATTTTCCAGCTTTCCCAACCGACTTGATGAGGAATATCATAATCATGGAGCACTTCATTTCTAACTCCGTCCCACTGTCAGTTTTGATGATTCGGAGAATCCGGAAATCATGCGCAAAATTCTGAAGCGATTCCTATCAATTGTGCAGAAATATTAGAATCGAGGCGCTCCCCCTGATAGAGGGTATCCCCGGAAGAAGGGGAGCGTGCACATGGCTGCCAAGGACACGCTCACTCACGGATGTAGGAAGAACACAGCGAGGCAAGTCTCCTGTATCTCAGTCATTTATTTCTCATGTTGTCGTTCGTGTCTCTTGGAACGAATACAGACCGCAACCGCTTAGGAGCCACGGATCTATACCGCGAATCTCTTCGACGGAAAAAGCAGAGGAGAGACAACGATCTCTCCTTCTATTCTATCGCCTTTCTGCCGGCTCGTCTCGTCTGTCATCACCGGAATAGTTGAGCGAGTGCGACCCTGACAACGCGCAGGTTTTTGAAATACCGGTGGGCCGGACTAATGTGGGAGTAACTTTGGCTCAGTGAAATTCAAAAATCCTAAAAATGGCTGTATACAGGCTGATTGAAGGTACAGTGAAATTTCGTAACAACGAGCACCGCTCCAGCGAAGCTTCGTTTCAGCGAACCGTTTGGGAAGCTGGAGAGGACACTTTTAAAATTCTCAACAGAAAGACTAATCATGACAATGAACAAAATTCACAGGTCCTGCGGGGCTCCTCGCAGCAAGATTTCACCGTAATCGATCTGAAGTAGAAGGCGGCAGGCGGGAACCGAATCTATTAAATCGCATGTATATAAGGTACTCAGATCCGCGTATGAAGAGCTCGGGAGAACCCAGAGCAATAGAGCGGCTCGGCTCACGCCCCTCTAAGCAATTTTGATTTTAGTAGCGTACATGTCCCGCAAACTCAGAAGCGAGACGGCCGTGCCCAAGAAGTACGGCAGCGAGAGCAGAAGCGATCCAGCAAGGTATATGTAACTTCCCCAGCCGATGAGAGATAAAGATCCGGACAGATACAGTGTGAGGACCAAGGTGTCCGGGGTAGATGAGACGCCAGATTTGCTGAAAAGCAGGAGCAAACAATGAGGTGACTTCACGTTCATCGAGTTGGCATGCATCAGCCCGTTGGGAACAAGCAGAGTATCAGGAGACTGATTCGAGAGAAATCCACTCACCGGCTCCGGAGGTAATCGAGACCCGGTATGTACACAAGATGCAGTGTGCTCCACAATAGGGTGACAAGCAGAACGTGGTCTTTCAGGTTTATCAAAAGCGAGAAGACTACGAGAGCAACCGCTGCCAACCTAGCGTCTCCGTTGAAATCCGAAGAGTAAGCAAGAATAACCAGACAGACGAAACCTTGGACCGTGACGCCGCATTTGTTCATCAGTCCAGCAGGGGTTGATTCACTACCGGGTTCTGTGGATGAGTTAATTCATGACTATGCGGCCAATCATTATGCCACCGCGAGCGATGTGAAGATGTGTGGAGCCAGATATTCAGTCCACGGAAGCTCGGGTGTGCAGCCTATATACGAATAGGCGAGAGCTATCGAGTCAGGTTCGAATTCAGCTGAAAAGCGAGAGCTTGCGCTCAGTACCTGCGAAAACGATGCCAAGAGATGACATAATCAGTCCCGAGAGAAAATTCCTGAGAGGAACTCCGAAGGACGATCCACGCTTGACGATTCCAACCGCGATCACCAGCATGCAAGCGTAGACGACTAGCGTGACAGCCACAGATAGCACCTCGATCTGATATAAAGACAGGGTCGGCCTCGGAGCGATCTCCGAAAGAATTTCCAGCGCGTCCATGATCAAGCCGGGGCGGTGACTTTGAATACTGATTAAAATCCAACGGGAAGGTGTATCGGAAGGTGTCGAAGGCTCATCGAGAATCCGGTCACCGGTAGTTTAGTTTTATCTCCTCCCTGTGAATGAATGGATATCGTCGTCTTAGTCTCACTATACAGCCTCTCGCTATCTTAGTTCCAAAGTCGAACGCTGCGGAGCCTCTGAATCTCATTCGGAACAGATCGATTGCGGTATGCCTCGATCATAAGGACTCCTCCACCCTTGAAACACCCTGGAGATCTTTTGGGCACGAAATTCGAAACACGAGACTGGGGGCTAGAGAGTTCTAATGAGACATCCTCCCGAGGCAGCCCGTTGCCGTGATGAACTTCCACCTCAAAAAGAAGATATGGCTCCGATTCCATCGCTGAATACACGCTTCTCAGTCTAAACTGAAAATCAGGATGATTTGACGCTTTGATTTCGAAACAGAATTCCCGTGAGGATATCACCATCATCATTGTCGGTGAAATTATCGATGCCAGTTGCAGTCTATTCCAATGACGACTTCCTGAAGGGTTATTAGCCTTCGGACTTGCTGAGTTGAGAATCTCACAACAGAAAAACCTGATCCCGATGCCAACGAGCATGGAGAACATCGCCGATCCGAGATCCATCAGGTGTAAATGTCGAAACGAGCTGCGAGTCTCCTTCGAAACAACACTCCGGGGTGACGGAGTATCGTGGGCAGCCCGGCTCATTTATCCTGGCCCTCGGATATCCGCTGAGAAATGCCTCAGCTCTGAATCAACGATCAACGAATCAACGTCTTCATGGCTACGATCTATGACCTCGGCCTCCACCTGCTGACCACATGACAGCGTGTGCAAGAGTGCCTGTCTCTGTGTGGAGCCTCGTTGGCGAACTCTCATCCGGGAACTTCGGTCTCAGCCTGGAGAATCTCAAGCCCAAGGCTAGCGACAGAACTCTCCGCACCCTCGTAGATCGGAATCAGCGATTCAGCGACATCGTATCGCTCGACCGTTCGGGAAGAGGAAATCATTCGATGGACTCGATCGTTTACTGATCACGTTTCTGTCTCATGGGGCGAAACACATACCCTTTCTGACCGGATCGTCCGTCGGAGTTTAGGCGGCGAGCCTCGACCGCCGAAACTTCTGGAGCTTCTGCTCAGTGAGCTCGCTCTCGTCTCCGCAGAGATTCTCGTTCTGGTCGTCGAGTATTCTGTCGCAAACGGTTCCGCTGGACAGAGCACGACCATAAGCGAGTAACTTTGACGGCGACACTCACTGCAGGATTATTCCCGATTCGAACACTTACAACAGCTTTGCCCATTCGTCGAGGGTCTCTCGCGCGGCATGACGTCGCAGACGTTATTGTTGTTCTACCGCCATCAAGCCGAGGGAAGGATGCCCCGAAGGTCGCCCTAGAGAAAACTCACCAACACCGCCTCCTCTCCCATGCGTTCGCTCCGACTAGCGTTCACACTTCTCCTGCGTGCGAATTTTCGTTCTTTCTCTTGCTCCTTTTTCGGTTAAACGCTCGAGCAACCTTTACCTACCTTCAAGCCTCTTGCATCGAAGAAAACGCTGAGATTCTCGGGGTACATTCGGGGATCCGATAGTGGGGCGCTCGCGGACGGTGACCCCGACCGGTACCGATGATGCTGCCATCTGGTTTCAGGCGATCAAAGTAGCCGCCGTCCACATGTCCGGTCACTCTGACTGACTGAGTGGAAAGGATGTACAAGACGTTCGATTGCTCTCTCGATCCTCCTGTTTTTTCGACCCGTGGCTGTAGCCCGTACTCGATCGACACCGTCCATCCTCCTTTTAAATAATGGCTACGCGGATGATGCGTGGAGAAGGCATGTGGGTCAGAAATGGTTGTCCGTCATGCGGGTCAAGAGTTAGCTTGACATCGGCGTGCGCGACTCCCGCCATCCCAGGCTAGGTCTCGAGTCCCTGCATCCCAAGGGTCTTGAAGTGTCACCGAACACAGAGCATTCCCCGTTTAGCGGAATCGATCTTCGAGAACAGATTCCGAGTTCCGAGTTAGAGAGTATCGATCTCAATGTTGAGCTCTACATATTGACGCCCCGATCACTTAAAGGACTCCGTAGCACGAGAAATCCGTTGTGGGTGTCTGAACTCTTCCCGACTGCGACAGATCGACAGTGAGCTCCGACTCGCCGAGGCGAGATGGTCATTTCCGAGTCCCAAACATGTGGGGAGCGGCAAGCCGCAAGGGCTCGGGCCTCTGTCAGAGCATCGCATACTCGCACTGAAGTGGCGGCGAGCTCTTCAAGATAGCCCGTTTCCTCCTTGATCGTCTCGCACGGAGCACGACACGCCGCGTTTTCAACTGCGCTTGCCGGCGAATTACGAAGTTGTATTGCTTTCCCGGACCTGCGGTATCAAAACCGCGAATGAGTAGGAGGGGAACCACATTCCCTCGCACAAAAAAAAGAGCCTCCATGCCAGGCTTCCAGAAGCCTTCTCGAAGTTCCCGCGGGAGACCTGCGCATGCATATCCCACGGAATGTGCGACGAGCTCGTTTTCACATCCGCGAAGCATTCACCGATGTAAATAACCAAGACCGGAACAGCTCTTGTCGTGGGTTCTCCTGAGACAGAAATTTCTGTCGACGAATTGGTATTTACTTAACACAGTTCCTTCTATTGAAAGTTTTGTCGAAATCTTGTTATTGTCACCGAGTTCCTCCTCTACGTTGTCGAATGCTGATATGCGAGTTCATCCGATTTTAAACCCCTGGCTCCTAGCGGCTCGGCTCAACGAGGTTATCCCAAGGTGCCCCGCGGTTACTCTCGGGGATCTGTATGTACGACGAACAACAGCACCCTTGTCCCAGTCGGTAAGATCGAAAATTCTCGATTCCGCTCCTTCCGACTGAAGATTATCGAGCATCTTAAACACAGCTGGAAGCCAAGACTTGCTCTCCGAGAATTCCTGTGCTTAAGGTGAGCGCAATCCGAGCGGGTTTGAGATGCGCTCCCGAACCGGATAGGAACGGAGAGCTCCGATGCATTGACCACGCATACGGATGCGCTCATTCTGATTCCATTGCAGGCTTCGAGAGGCCCGAACGAGATGTCTGGCTCCTTCGAACCAGTGGTACCGGTGAGTACGTTCACAAACTCGAGATTTTCTGTCGCGTCAACTCCTGCCATGCTCTGGACAGCAGATCAGACCAGTCCTCGGAAATAGATATCCGCGAACTTGCCATCGATTTTACGAAGCTCCCCTATTCTTCAAAGACAGCTCGTCATCCAGAACATGCCAGGGGGCGGCGCAGACTATTTTGAGGATGAGACAAAATTGAACTATGCCTCTAATGCCTTGGATCTCGAGCCTGTCACACCGGAAATTCAGATCGGAGTTTTATCCGCAGCGCCCTTATGTCGGAGCCGGCCGGAATCAAGAGGGGTCGTCGAGAATGATCAGGCTAAGAAAGGTATTTAGAGGTTCGGTGTCCGGCGTGCGTCGCTCGTCCCTGAGTTGATCATTTCCGAGAATACGAGTCGAGTGAGATCTTTATATGAGCAAAACTGAATAGGGTAACCATGCAGCCCCATCCTGTACGTCTTGCCTAATGGGACCACTGCAAAGTGTATAAGCTCTAGCCGCTGCCGAAATCTTCAAAGCCTCTGCGGTATCGGATCGACCAGAAGGAGGGAAGGATTTCCGTCTCTCGTTTAGACGATCCTTTCCGGCGTACCCAGGTCTCCACAGAAGGGATAGAAAGTTTCCGTGCGGGAAATGTCCTCGTGCGCTCGAGACAGCAGTCTGGTGGAATCTCCTCGGATTCGAACGTGGCGATAGCAGTGAGGTCGATGTACCACTCCAGCCTCGTCGCTATGTTAGGGGGTTGTACGATCATGCGCTTCTTCTGCATGAGCCCATCGATTGTCAACCGGTCAGCACATACCGCGCGCGGTAGATAGCCAAAATACTTTCCCCGACTTGAATTAGCTTCCACCTAAATAACAGCTGTTTGCGGATGACCTACATATCATCCTTACGCGCACTCCCGCACTTAAAGTTAGGTTGGGCTTCATATAGGGAAAGTCACGAGCAGTTGGCATCAGACTCTGACCCTACGAGTTGGAGGAGAGTCACGTGCTTCATCTTCATACATCAATACATCTACGTAGCACCGAGTCTCCGCCTCCCTGGAGATCTCGGATTCCATAGTACATATCATTATTTGTTATTTGAAGCTCAGTCGAGAAAAAGCCAGAAAAAAACAACGTTATCTGACATTCGATGAGGTATCATTACGTGCTCCATCAGTCACTGTCTGATCAAGTAGGTTCGTCCGAACCATTGGATACCTGGAGGCATACACTCCCATCAGACGGAACACGCAGAGATTGACTCCTCCAGACCTTCAGCCATGTCGTCCAGCAGCCGAATAGGCTGGTCGACGAAGATTGTCTTCCTGCATCATTGTCGACCCTACCAGACGGAAATGTGGAGGACGACTGGAGGATTTCAGGGGTTGTGCGGGACTTTTCAAACAGGACTCACGTGGAGTGTCTGAAGGGTATGGCGCACCATTTCTCCATGGAGTCGTAACTAGTGGTTCGACGAGTTCTGCTCGTCTTCGTGAAAAAATGCGGATATTGAAGTTGACGCGAACAACTATCAGTCACTCTCGAAAGCTCCGCCGAGGAGCGCATTCACAAGGTGTCTGCATTCTCGCGATCATCAGGTCCTGTTTCCCGTCGACTCCGCACGAGTGATCAGTTCCCTCATGTCAGATGAGAGATCCCACCAATTGACCTTTCGCACAAATGACCTGTACCACACCGAATACGAGTCTCCGAATATACGGAAATTCTCCTCTGAGGGCCTTCCGCTTCGTGGGCTTGACACTTTCCTCCTCTCGTCTCTCGCGACTTAAACTTTCGAAAATGTGCCCCTGGGCGCTCATATGCGTCGTGGCTCCCGACACTCCACCTTGTCGGATCTCATCATCAGGCTGATCAGGAAGCCTTCCTAGGCAGACGAATGCGAATTCGAGAGGGAAATACGTACATATATCCTGCGAGTCTCGTTCCGACCTTCTTACGCGAACGTCTCCATCATTCTCACATCCCCCAGCCCCGAAAAACTGAGTTCTGATTAGGCGTCCAATCTCCGCTATCGCCGTTTCGTTGCTCTCCGCGAGGGATATCGGTGCGAGATAAGGAATTACAAAGCAGATGATAAACTCGAGTATGAATCGGAACCTATTCCTTTCCAGTCGCTCGAGTCCCCAGGCATGGGAGCGGAAGACGATCGGTGTTTGAAGCATGTTTCGTTACTTATTCATGAGCCTACAACTCCCAACCGCGTCGGAAGGAAGCCGACGTCGATCCCTTGCGTCACAGTTCTGAGCGCCCTCGCACTCTTGTCGCTGATGTTCGTCGTGTTCTTCGGCTGCCTTCTTTTCCTCGGAATGCGACACCGCATGTGAGTATTGGGCTCCACATTTCTTTCTGAACCTGAGATCTAAGATATTTGACAACATACACTGCATTGATTCCATACCCAGGTAACATAAGAGGAACCTCAAGGCGATTCGAGATGTACTGGAAGTTTCTGACGAGATGAGGAGACGAGATGTCACCTCGATTTTCGTCGGAGCAACATCACTCGAGAATTTCCCGCTATGATATGAAACGCACAAATACATAGACTGAGCAAATCTCGTCGCATTAGAAGTCCGACCGTGGAGGTGACTCGTTCCCCAAGAGGAAGATTCGGAGCAGATTCTTAACAACTTTAGGGACCCTGATGAATGATGCTTTCGTGGAAGCTCCCCTCGTCCGCTGCTGAGGACTTCCCTCGACGGTCGAGCGCAGGACATCGAGTATTCTGATGTCGTATACTTATAGGAGAGACCTATATTAAGGACGGGTCGAATCGATAGCGAATATATATCTCATCCATGAATCCATTCGGTTCTCACTTATGAAAACCTCTAGCTAATCGCATATGAGTAGTCTCAGGCGATGGAATCCATCGGGGAACTGGTGAGGTAATAACGTGATGACGGTCGCGATACGCGTCCTGTCGTCTCGCTTAGCTACCGGGAACGAGCAAAATATCCCTTGACCATTCAGTATTCCGGGATGTATAAACCGGGTATATTCTAAGCTCGAGAACCTCAACGCATTAGGACTTTGGCATCACTTCCCCGATTTCATGGTGGATCCTCCGTGCGCTGGCCGCACCGCTCTCTGAGTAAGCGACATCTGATGAGATGCAGCTAACACAACGAGGTGCTCAACGCTGTCCATTCGTTCTTTTCGGAGTCCAGCACGGACCGGGATATCCAAAACCTGATGGACTCTCACATCAGAACCGTGAAGAATGTGGTACAGACCTCCTCGCCCGTTCACGGTTACGGCACCGTAGCGCCGTAAGGGCACTGTGGGAGCACCGGAACGACCCGAAAATCAGGGAGTTGACGCGGAATCCTTTCTCTGCAAAGCTCCGCTGTCACAGACCATAGAAGCTTCTTCGATTTTCTCCTTCTTCCGCGCGCCGTAGGGATTTGTTGAGGTCTAAATCCGTAGCCCGTGGTACGGAAAGTGTGGTTCTGATACCCTATTAGGATATCAGTCGCTCACCCCTGCTCCCCCGTCGTCGCAAGTCGAGACTTGCCCCCGAAAGGCTGAGCTTGGAATACGCCCACGATTTCGGAAGCTTTCAAAATTCTCCACCGAATACTTATTGTTCGTGATGATGATCAAATGAATCATCTGGGGTCCCAGAACTGCCAATGTTGGCGACCATCAACCACGGATTATGCGCGGATAGTCTCTGAGAGGTTTCGAATAAAGAAGGTCGGTTGAATAGATCAAGGTAGAACCATCCAGGAAGAACAGGATGCTGCGAGGAGCACGTGCGAAACAGGGATGAGACGATCGATACGCACAACAAATTTCTTTCCAAACTCCTGACTGATTTCGGGAGTCTAGATCACTCGAGCTGGACTGCATCCGGATCAAAATCCCGAAAATATCCCTGAAGGCGATTTTCCGTCAGCAAAGGTCGCATACACGAACTCCGAGGCTGGGCTTTCCACCCGGTCCACGAGTTTGTAGGATGTGGTATCGAATGTATAGGCTTTCTTCCAGAGCATCTCGAAGTTCAGGTCTCTGAACCATGGGTGCACCCTAACGTCTCGGGTTTTGCGTTCACTAGGTTTTTTCACCAGGAGCATCTTCATGAAAGATTGAGCCTCCACCGAGAAGTTCGTCCCTAAAGACGGCTCTTTCTCAACGATGTTCTCACAGACGGAACTGGTATCAGTGTTTTCAAACGGCGTTCTCATCGAGAGCGTCTCGTAAATGAAGATGCCGAGCGCCCAATAGTCGACGCCGAAACTGTACGGGTTCCCCAGGACTATTTCCGGAGCGCGATAATTCATATCGCTCCGCATGATGGTCTTGGTGGCTTTGCCTTTCAATTTCTTGGCTTTTTGAAAATAGCTCAACTTCACGTAGCCGTCTTCATACATACTAACGAATCGCGGATTGATCGAACGATAGACCACACGCGCGGCGTGGAGGAACTGAAGCGCTAAGATCAGTTGAGCTGCGAAGAACTTGACATCTGGCTCGGTGAAAGGTCGTCGACGGTCTTCCATAATTCCATGGAGATCTCCGAAGCACGCATACTCCATGGCCAAATGCAAGTTTCTTTCGGTCTTGAAAGCAAAATGTAACGGCGCAGCGAATGGAATTTGCAGAGCGTATTGAATTTTCTTTGCTCGGATCGGTAATTTTCGACGTAATTTCTGGCGATAGTTATTCTTGCACATGACTTCCATTGTGTAGAGAGCGTTCTGAGCGATGTGTTTGCAGACAAAGAGCTTCGGCTCATGCAGTTTGATCAAGCCGAGAATTTCAAAGTCCTGCATTTTCGCCTTCGGACACTTGTTCTGCCGATAACGCGTCTTGAAAATATCTAATTTCCCCTTGGCTTCGGTGGGGAAACAAAGATCCTTCCAGGAGGCGCCTCCATCGCTCTCTTTCTCGGACGAAGTGAATTCTTCTGAGACGGGACTAATCGAATTCTTTGAGAGACCCCGTCGACTGTTCGACTGGAGCGCCATCGTTGTTCTCGTGAATTGAACACTCGAAATTCGGTCAGCTCTACCTCTCGTGAACAGCCCCTCCCGGACTACGCGAAAAAAGTTATCGCAGGGAGGCAACCCGGCGTAGCCCTCGTCGTCGCCTCGAGGAGCTGAGTTATCCTTCCTCTCTACTGGATGAGGTGACGTCTAGACTCCCAAAACAATGTCCGCCCATGGCCTGACGTTCACGTATAGCTCAGATCTCCCTGCTCGACAATCCAATGAAGATTGGCATATTACGTAACTAGTACGATGCACAATGATAAGCGCTCGATCATGTGATTCGCGATAACGAACGATCGCTTCAGCTGGGAGGTTTATCGGAGGAGCATTATTGCCGCAAAGTTTATTACTTTCCTCGTGAAATGCGAAGTGATCCGATAACCTGATGAGCTCAAAGATCCTGTGGGCGATAGGAAATTCAAATCTCCGGTCTTATCCGCAACCGGGCTATGCTCAGGTGCCCCATGGTTACTTTCTGCAGTCAGTAGCACAGGCGGCAATGCCGAAAGACTATTCTATGAGCAGTTATGCGAAGTTCGGGCCCATCAGGAATATCTCACCGACCACAAGCGGAGGCCGTGGCGCCGGTGAGAGAGGAGCTCCCATTCGGATCACTGCGGATACGCATGAACGAGAGGACAATCCCTTACCAGAGAAAGTACGAATCCTTCAGACAAGTGGCACCAGAGTATGTTCACAGCCCCCGTCAAACATACTCGAGATCTCCCGTCTCGTCACCGCGCTGACGAATGAAGATCGGAACGTTTCTCAGGGATAGTTGCACCCGAAATTGTCTTTCAACATCAGGCGCGTCTCCATTCCGGTATGACAGCATTCGGATTATACGAGCACCCACAAACCAGTTCGATCTCCGTGGAATCATTCGCACTCAAAATACCTACGGGACGGAGTTTCATCCTCATCGTTAAGATGAGCTCCGAACATACCTTGCTATTCGTGCTCTGGATCCCATGCTCTGCGGATCGCGGGGTCTCGGAATTCGCGTCTCACCTGCAACCTCAAAATGTTGGAGCGGGCTGATATCGAGAGAGATCGTCGACGAAATAAAACGAGCTCACTTACGGTTTTCAGGTATCTGATCCCCGACACCCATCTCCTCAGCTTTTTCGTTTCCGAGGATGTTTCCTAGGATTGAGCTCTGAGGACAACGTTACTCTGTATGGGACCACCTCAGCATTTGTAATCGGACTCGTGATGAGGGATCACAATCTCCGAGGAATGTCTTCGATTCGTAGCGAACTCTTTCAAAAGCGCGCCTCTGCGGTATCGTATTGCATTGTGGATCCGCGGGTCCCTTCCTTGTTTGTGCGTCAGGTTCCGGCGTATTTCACTCTTTATGGGGAAGAAGATTGAAACCCGGAGGAATAATCTGGGAGATTCGCATTCCTTTCCGAATTCGGGGCTCCTCTCCTTGATCACGAGCATAGATTTGGAAAATTTTTCCTGATCCCAGGAGTCGGGAAGCGATAGCAGTGGGGGATTCATCGAATCGGAGTCCATGGTCCGGGATCAACGACGTTCGATCCTCGAACTGGAGTCCATCAGGCTGCCTCAAGCTTATTAAAATCGTACGTTGCTCCCCCATTGGGCGGTGACGATTTCCTCGACCTAGGACGGGTCGCCCCACGATGATTGGCTGAATCTCTTTCGCTAAATTCTGCGGGCAGGTTTTTCATCTCACTTGTTGACCATGGCCGACAGCTCGAGGCTCTGATGGTCGAGCGAATGGCAAAGCAATCACCGAACATTGTCAGTATACGGAAATGATGATGATGGGATCTCGGCTCCCAAAGGATATTCCAAGCGAAACTACATGTAGACCATGCAGACACGTGGATTGCTCTGCTCGATGGCTCGAAAGCAACTAGCGTGCTCACGGGGACCATCGAATTCCAGTATCATATCAGAGAAAACGTCCCGATCATCTGTTCCCATTCCCACCTGGAAACATCCTAAATATACGATATGTTGTCGAGCGTACTGTGTTGCATGGAGCATCGCACGGAGTCTCTTCCAGTTCGTCTTCCGACCTTCCTCTGAGGGGGCCGTCGCACCTCCGACGCGGTAACCGAATGGTGCGTCATCAGCGATATCGAGATATTTAAAGAGTCGCAGTCGGCGGCTCGAAGTCGAATCCGAAGATCTGATTTCGCTTCGATTCTGTGTACGAGCTCGTCACATTTCGTCGTAGCTCGTGTAGTTCGATGATCAGCACGGTAGAGCGAGTCGCGACCCGCAAATCATGGATCAGATCCTCCACGAATCACCGGATTTTCGAAACGTCTCGTGTGGAAGCCCTTCGCTCCGTTGGCATAACACGTTTCTACTCCTGCTCCTCATCAGAAGAATATGAGGGTAAACGTGGGCGGGTATCGGTATGTCTAAACTCCCTGAGTTTACATTTCGCGAGAGCTTCCGAGAATGTTTGCTCGGGCGGAAATATGCGCTGCGCCTTTTGACGCTAGACCAGCCGTACAGACTACATCCTCATGGAAGCCCTCTTGGCGAGTGGAGCGAAATGGAGTTGCGATGAGAGAGAATGTGAGGGAATATGCGACTTCGAAACGATCTCGACTACAGATACCAACTTCTCAACCTCAATTCATTTCTTGGCAGAGCCTTCACTTGGCGCGTATAACCCCTCTCCTTCCCCCCTGGGAGAAGGTTTCCGCTCGGACGACAAATCGGCGGGATCGCCGTTCCGGGTGAGCCTCGAGCTCCATACGAGATCAGACCCTGAGATCCGAGAGCTGGCTCTCAGCCTGATTGACGCGATCCCATCTGAGCTCGGAATCTAAAAACTCAACGTCTGGAGCGACGGATAAAAATCGGCCTGTGAGAGTTCGAGCGGGTTCTGGGGGCTCAGATGATCTGAGTCGGATCCGGACGTAAGTTCTCGACGCATTTGCGCTTTGACCGAGACACATGTCTGTGACCGACGTGAATAATTTCCAAAGTTTCACCGTCCATCTCTGTCTGATCCTTGTGGTCGATTCAGAGAGAATTTGATTTCGTAACCTGCTCGTTCTGTGGAAGATGGCCAGAGCGGCCGTCGACGACTTCCTGCCGGATCGTCCGCTAAGTTTTATAATTGTATGCAAGGCAAACAATTATGCAAAGGTTTTGCAAGCATCGGCGATGTCCGAGGTATTTCTCAAGAGACTCTGCCTGAGAAGGAGAGTTTTAGGTGATTTCCACTCCCTGTGTACCTGGATATCACAGCTCTCAAAGCGAACGAGCACCGAGAAGCACGTCGCGGGCGTTCGAGAAGCGTATTTAGCTACCTCGCTCGCTCGCTGCGTGGCTTGCTGAGGAGCGCTCTAGGATTGCTCCACATTGGCGGGCAAGCGGGCGGGCGTACGGTTTGTTAGTCGTCTGAGCACGTGAGGCATGTCTCTGGGCGGCGTAATCGCGGAGCTGTTTTTCCGCTTGGCTGTTGCTATCCCGAACCTCGGTCGCTGTCTCTATACTCGCCTGTTCCCCCGCCTTCCTCCGCGATGCCTAGTCGAGTTTAATAACGCAAGCTCGCAGCGACACCGGCGAACCGTCGAGAATATATGTATATTGTTTGCCTTCCTTGCGAGGTAATTTTGGCAACTCCAGACAATACTCGCGAAGTCGTTCTATCGTCGGCCTCTGAATGGGGGAGAAAACACTTGATGATGAACCATTCATACACTATTAGGAATATAGATAGCTCGCTGTCTATCCTACGCTCCATGTATCGCGAATCGCCAAGGCTCTGATGCATTGAATGTGCAATCGTTGGTCTTCAGATAACATTCTCCTCGACTCTACATTGCCGATTATTCTTCCGCCGGCTGATGCGTCGCGCCATCAGCCTGAGCCCGAATGTCATGCAAGAGATCGAATGTCTCGAGGAATTCTGCCAAGTTGCTAAAACAAGATGTCACCCAAATATTTGTTGGGAGCGAGAACGCACTTGAAGAGAATCTCTCGCCATACTCTGGAGCGCGCTCTGGTGGCGCAAACACGGCACAACTTGAGTGAGTCGATGAACCCTTCCAACAAAGAAAATAAGCGAATCTCGGCCGAACACGCGGTCCCTCATGAACGGCTCTAGACTCTAGATGATGGATATTCGGTCGGATTAGAAGCGGGCGCATGGAGCAGGAATTATTCGTTCAAAACACGATCTTGAGGAGTTTCTATGCTGACATGGCTTGTCTGTGTTCATGGACGACAATCGCATACACCAGATGGTAAATTTTTCCGAAGAATTCCCCAGGGCATAGACTCGAGTCATTCTCTGTATGCAATCGGTAGTGGCTCCGGGAAGCTCTCCGAGAAATTTTCGAAGGCAGCCCGGAATTCTGGAACGGCGGAGCTATATCAAAAAATCGAAGCGTGTGAATTCATCAAATAAACATTTTCGCCGAGAGTAGATGGCGGTCGACGAACGGGCATCCAGATAGTGACGAAGACTGATATCGCCCGCTTATATAGAGGCCTATATTGGAGTCGGCTAGAATGTCTGACGAATATATATTGTAACCTATAAATCTGTAAGGTATTTGGTTCTCGTTTCCAAAATCTGGTTCTTATCGCTCGCAAGAGGCGATAGGGTTGCGATAAATTATTGGACAGCTGATAGTGAAATCAAGCCGTCCCTTGGCAATTACATTCCATCAGCTGCCAATAAGAGCAGATTCCACGGCTATTGGTCTCTTTTCGATCAATCAGAATTCTCCAACTTCCTCCGGACGAATTCTGTGACTTCAAGCTCGGGAATCTCGGAGGAACGAAGCTCCGGCACTGCGTTTCTAATCTCATTTTAGAGCCTCGGCGGTCAGCATACTCCTATTTTTAGTATCCCTGGTATCTAAATATGGTCGGGAAAATATCGTCTGCAACCTACGTCTCTGGACCGGGATCTCCGAGCTCTTAATTTCTTTGATCCTGGGAGATTCTACCTCTGAGGGCCGCGGTACCGA